TCAGGGTCTCAGTACTAGATCGGACTCGTAGTGATCCGCCTCTTCACAGCCTCCCACGAGCTGGGATTACAGGTGCACAACACCACGCCCAGCCTCAACTGCCATCTCAGTGCACCCCGGGGGCGGGGCCAGCATGGCAGGCACCGGGATCGAACCCCTGGCCCTTTCACCTGCTTGCAGGCACTTTAATCACACACTAACATTTTCTGTGTCCCACTACAGCATCTTACAGTCACCGGTATAAGTATACCCTCCTTTTAAAGCCACTACATTAGAGAATTAGTTTATATAATGCTGTCCTTTTTCTGCTGGAAATTTTCAGTATTTTCTTTTACAAAAAAATATTTTAACAGTTAAAGGAATCAACATACCTTTGACTTTTTTTCTAGTTTCATCATCAGCAGTTTTAGTAGTGGGGTTGTTAAAAGCTTTTAGAATGCCAGCTTGTATTCTCTGTAAAACCAAATTAATAGAATCAGATCTAGTACTAGTTAACTCAGACCTAACCCTATTAATGACTTTCAAAAAGCAAGGTGCACTGTGGATCCCTGTTCCCTAATCTGAAAATAAAATCCATGACTTTAAAAAAATCTGTATATGTCCTTTTATTCATAGTTCTAAGACTCCATGAATGGGTGACTTTCTAATGCCAAATTCTCAAAAGAGCTGATGCTTAAGTTCTTCCTAATTTAGGTTCTCTTGGGTTTCAATTGTTTTTGCTAGTCTACAAAAAGCAAGCAACCTAGGTTGATTTTTCTTAATAGGCCTAGGGTAAGTTTATTCCCTCTCCTCTCTCTAAAAGGACAGTACTTAATCAGGACAAAAGCAAAACAAAATAAAAGTAACAGCCTATATGAAATTTGTTATCTAAGAAGCCTTTAAAAAGCATGTTAAAAAAAAATCAAGATGTGTTATGTATTTGTACCCACTCCGCACAATGAATGTAATCATATGTACTGCAACCATATACTAATAAAAATAGATTTTAAAAAAGAAGCCATCATTATGCAAGAAGCTATGTATTAATAAAAAATAAAAATTAAAAGAAAAAACACGGTATCGAGCAGGTCACTGTGCTGTCCATGAACAATATATGCACAGATGACTAAAGTCCAGAATATGAATTCATATCATACCAAAGAGAATCTCCCAGATATTAAGTAGTCTTTATTTTAGCTTGATAATAATGATCACGTCTTCAGTAGCTCTTAGTAAATGACAAAGTTTACATTTCTATATTTTTGCACGTTTTAAGAAAGATTCAACCTCACAGAAAACTTTCAGAACACAATCACAAATTCCAAGAATAAAAATTTAAATTGGGAAATTATTATCTTTTATATTAGTTGAGTTCCTAATTAGTGGATGAATTTTGTCTAACTCACACTATGATTGTAAGATAAAAGGGAAATTTATGTTTTCTTTCAAGATATTTTTTCTTTTTCTTTCTAAAAGATATTTTTCTTGATCATAAGTTTTAATATATAAGACTGCTATCTGAACTGGACTTTAGAGTGTAAAAATGACACATAATTTTGTCACAAAAAAATTATGCAGAGAAACTAAACTCAAATTACATACTTCCCTAAGAATAAGAACACACCATATCAGAACCCAAGATACTTCCCAGTGTTCAAAAGAAAATTCACAGCCTTAAATATTTAATTCAAGTGAAAAAATCAAATCAAATACTTTAAGCAGTCAACTTAAAGATTTAGAAAAGGGACATCAAAACTAAAATAAGAAAAGTTTAATGGAAACGAACATTGAAGGGATTCATTAATAAATGAATCAAACGTGAATTCTTTGGGTAGGGGATAAACAAACCTCCTAGCCAATACATAATATCACACCAAAGAAATAAGAGAAGTCATTAACAAAATTAAAGACATTTTAACCCTAAGAGACCACTTTGCTCAACTTTCACATAACAACACTTGAAAACTCAAGGAATAAACAATAGGCAATTTTCCAGGAAAGCACAATTACTAAATTAACCACAGGAGAGACCAAAGTCTCCGGACTGGGGGCGTGGGCAGTTACACTGTTAAGCAGTAGTCCTTATAAAAAGCCTCAGCCCTAACAATTTCACAGAGGGATACCAGCCAACGCATGTTCTAACAAAGAAAAGGGTAAACTTTCCAATTGTTTTCATAAAGCATAATACACATTTAAAAAAAACTATGAGAGTATATATTCACCAGTATCACTTATGAAAAAGTCCAAAAACATCAACAGAAATACAGCAGCACCCCAAAAGAATAGTATATTGTGACCAAGAGGCTTTTAGCTGTGACCTAGGAGTGCAGGTATATCAGCAAATACAATAATACATCATATTAATAGACTGAAGGAGAAAAATTATTAGATCCCTAGTTTTATAAGAAATTACTAAAATGAAAAGCTGCTATGAATAGCAGAATGGCAGGATACATGACCACGAAGTCAACAGACTTTTCATCCGAACCAAAACCAGACGAACTCAGAACCCTCAAATGAGATCAGCCCCACATCTAGCCTTTGGGACCAGAGAGTCAGTACCTAGGCCCTCGTGCACCTCTGCCAGATGTGCTGATTTTAACAAGCCTCACTGAGAACACATCTGTTGAGTTTTTAATCTGTATTAGCACACATGTGCATTACATAATGGTACATTCACTGTGGGGAGGTGGTGCGCGTACAGAACACATCGGAACTCCTTTTGGGTCTCCTTCCCACATACAAAAGATCTGCCTTATTATCTGTCTTTCATTTTGCTCTTTAATTTATTTATATTTTTGGTTTCTCACTTAAGGGAAGCCTTGCAATATTTAAGCTTCTGTGTCTCATTTATTTCACTTAGTATTATGGCCTCAAGGTGCATCCATTTTCCTACAAATGACCCAAATCTACTCTTCTTTGTAGCAGAAAGCTAGACTATATTCCAGAGACTCTCAGCTTCTCATCCTTTTGGTATCCCTCAGCCAGCAAGAGCAGTAAGTCTGTGTTTGCTACCAGTCTCAAAACTAAATAATTTAAATTGTTAATGGGTACACAAGTAGCTTTCAAAACTGAGAAAAACAATGGGATGATTTTTGTAAACATCAAAATAGTGGCTACTACTTTAAACAAATTTTTTAAATCTTTTATTTATTTGGTACAGGGTCTCACTGCACAGCTCTAACTTGTAGTGATCCTCCTGCTTTCAGCCTCCCCAACACTGGGATTACAGGCATGTGCCACCGTGCCCAGTCTTGTTGGCTGGCTCAGCACACCTGGGGTTCTGGGGCTGGCATGGCCTGTAGTATCAGGACTCAAACCTGGGTATTTGCGCTTGCCAGGCAGGTGCTCAAACTGCTGAGCTATCTTTCTGGCCCCAAAATAGTGACTACTTCTAGGAGGGAATTTTGTTTTGTTATTGTTTAGGCTTATTTTGTAGTTGTTCATTTGATTTTGGGAATGCTGAGAATTTGAACCCAAAGCTTTGCACATGCTACACAAGCACATTACCACTGAGCTACACCCTTAGCCCTTTTAATTTCTGAGACAGGCACTTGATAAGTAACCCAAGCTGGGCTTGAACTTGTGATCTTCCTGCCTCACCTCTTCTGTAGCTAAGATTACAGGTGTGGATAACCGTCCTGGCCTAGGGACAAGTATTTAAAAAGGAACATGCAGCTTCTACGATAATGATAATACAGTGTGTGTGTGTGTGTGTGTGTGTGTGTGTGTGTGTGTGTCTCCAGGGATAGTACCCAGGACCTTGTACATGAAAGGTAAGAATTCTATCACTGAGCCAGATAGCCAGCCCAACTGTATATTTAATCTATTTTTTAACTCAGGGTTGGGGGTGAGGATGGAGAGGAGTGGTAATGGAAAGTGTTTCTTACTATATATTAACCTGCACTCATACATATGTTCTGTGTACAACATATGTTGTATAACACATAAGTTTTTAAGGTCTCCACCTCCAACTACTGTAAAACAAGTTGCATTTATTAACTGGATAATAGTTCCAGTCCTGTAGCTGCTCACTACATTCACTGTATCTATGTGATAGTAAATGCAGGATTTAAAACAATTAAATATTTACAAAGTAGGGTGTAAAAGTAAACATGAACTATTCATACATCACACTGTCATGAAATATTTGCTCAGGAAGTCACAACCCTAAAATGTCTTCCAGAAGATCTTCAGATACTGAGATAACTTCTAACTTGAAAGCAATAAATCTGAATTAACATATTGCAAATACTGTGTATGCTGCAGGTAATTTTTATCATTTGAAAAATATTTGAACTAAAATGAAATTAGAATGATATAATTCCATGTAAGAGATTTAACTGACCAAAATGGAAAATTCCAACAAATACCAGTATTTATATTAACCTATAAATATTTAATGTAGATACAGCCTTTTAGCAACTAAAGACAAAGATCCCTAATGTAAATTAAAACTATTCTACAACTTAAAGATCTTATTAATTCAGATGGGAATTTCAATGATTAAAGACTCTGCCATATTGTGAAATGCAAAAATGCATACCAATTAAAAGCTGGTAATCTAAAAAAAGACTAAGAACAATATAATTGTTTAAATAAATGATTAACTCTTAAATGGTAAGCTTTTGGGGCTGGTGAGTTGGCTCAGTGGTCTAAAGCACCTACTTAGAACAAGCTTAGCAAAGCACAGGGACCACGGTTCAATCCCCCAGCACCACATGCCAGCCAGCCCCGCCTCCTGGTGGGCTGAGCTGGCCACACAAATAAATAAATAAATAAATAAATAAATAGAAAAAGAAAAATGGTAAGCTTTTGCTTTTTTATACATCTTAACTATAAATGTATACTTTCTGCTCTAAACTTTTTAAAGAGTTCATTAAAATAGGTAATATATCAAGATGAATAAAACAAATGGGCTTAGGTCCTCACTGTTAGGACCCAGGCTTTAGACCACTGAGGTTAAAAGAGAAAAAGACACTTTGGTCAGAGGTGCTTATAACTGCAGCACATTAATTAATTAGCAGTATAAAAGCTCAACTGTGTAGAGCTCCATCTTGAACTTCTTTCAAAAACAAAAGTCAAACACTGTACAGTTTAAGCCAGCTAACATATTCTACCTTTGAACAGAATATATTCAAATATGGAAAGGCCTCTAGGTACATCCACTTTCCTACAAATGACCCAAATTTATCCTTCTTTACAGCAGAAGCTAGACAATGTTCCAGAGACTCTCTCAGCTTCTCTTCTTTTAGGACCCCGATATATTTTAAGATATATGTATTTTAAGATAATAAAAATGCAATACAAATTTAGTGACAGCTCAAACAAGAAAAAAAAAGCAACACAAATTTGAAAGTTGAAAAGACTGAAAGTCTTTGAAAGTTGTATTCAATTCATCAAAAGTATATTCCTCAACTCTATAATCGAAAGAAAAGACTTTAATGAAACTACAAAAGAAGGTCAGTAGTTTT